GCTTGCATGACTTAGGATTGCCAATAGTTGGTTTGGTATTGCCAGCACTTGCTGCTGGATTGTCAGAACTTAGTTTAGTACTGTCTAGTCTAAAATTAGTGTTGCCAGGACATACTTACTCTCAGTTTTCCAGTGCTTAGTTTAGTATTGCCTAGTTTAAACTTAGCATTGCCAGGACTCACTTTTAGATTCCCATGGCTTGGTTTAGTATTGCCTATTCTAAATGCAGAATTGCTAGGACTTTAGTTGGTTCAGAGTTGCCTATTCTAAGGAACCGGTGTTTTTGTTTCTTTAAATTTATACCAGCCGTGTTTATTTTGAAGTTCCTCATTTTGGATTCTCATTTTTGTGTCTTTTCTCACAGACGAAGCGAGCAAGTAAGTGAGTGAGCGACTGGTGGTTGCAAAGAAAACACACCTCCATCCCGTTTTGTTTGTTTGAAATCACGCCTGGGGGTCATGCATGATTTGAGCAAATCAAACACCCGAGCCCCCAAGCGTGACTTCAAAAAAACAAACACCAGCCCAGAGGCGTGAATTCAAAAAGAAGCAAAATCGGAGCCCCCAAGGCGTGAATTCAAAAGAAAAAACGCCCCGGCCCACAGTCATGAATGCAACAAAGCAAACACAGGGACGCCCAGGCGTGATTTCAATACAAACAACACCGGGACCCCCCAGGCATGATTTCAAAGAAAACACACCGGGACCCCCCAGGCGTGATTAAACACACACACACACACACGAGCACGAGCACGAGCACGAGCACGAGCACGAGCACGAGCACGAGCACGAGCACGAGCACGAGCACGAGCACGAACACGAACACGAGCACGAACACGAACACGAACACGAACACGAACACGAACACACACACACACACACAGAAGCACAAGCACAAGCACAAGCACAAGCACAAACACCAACACCAACACCAACACCAACAACAACACCAACACCAACACCCACGCCAACAACACCAACAACACCAACAACACCAACAACACCAACAACACCAACAACACCAACAACAACACCAACACCAACAACACCAACACCAACACCAACAACACCAACACCAACAACACCAACAACACCAACACCAATATCAACACCAACACCAACACACACACACACAAACATGGACCCCCCCCAGGCGTGATTTCAAAATAAGTGATTCCAAAAAAAGCACCGGAGCCCTAGTTTAAACTTAGTTTGGCCAGGACTTACCTACAGATTTCCAGCTTGGTTAAGGACATTGAAGGAGATCCCTAAACAGTCATGTTATTAGACAGGATCACTGGCTCCCGTGGGCACCCCTGTTTGTATGGGAGATTGGGCTTGTTTATGTGTATATAAATATATATATATATATACACACATATAAGTTATCTTAAATTTGATGGTTTGGGGACCACTTGCAAGATGGATTTCCTAGCTCTAAGGCCTTTGCCCTTTGAGCTGGAAAGAGCCGAACCGCCCTTTAAAAGTAAAGGCTACGGCTTTAATTTTGCAGTTTCAGTAACCCGCTCGTAAAAAGTTGGACATTAAAGCGACCCCCCAAAACAGTCACATTCAGCAGAATCAGGGCCTCTTGTTTCTTGTTGGCAACCCCCTTTTTGTGACTGTTTGCCCTTACTTTCTTGCAAATATGGTACATTTAAATTTGATGGTTTGGGCACTACGTCCCAAAAGGACATGCTAAATGTTTGCCCATGTTTGCCCGGATTTGTTTGCCCGGTCTGTTTCTGCCCGATTTGTTTGGCCCCATTTGTTTGGCCCGCTTTTCAGATGTTTTTTGTCGGCCAAACAACTTGCTACAAATCATGATACCTGAACAGTGGGGGGGGGGGGTCGCGTTTAAGCTGCGGAGACTTGACATCATTCAGGGTGCCAGAATTAAACCCGGTGCGACATTAAAGTTCATAGTAGCCATTTGTTTTATGTTGGGTTCTGGGTTGCAACATTTCCTCTAAGTCCATGGAACCAACCAACTCAAAGACCCGGGAGTGGTTGACACATTCCGACTCAGGCCAGACAAGTGAAGAGTCGGTTGGGATCTGGATTGTTGAAAGATCTCTGGGCTTCCAAGAGGCGTCTACATCTCGATGTCAAAATGTCCCGCACTCTTCCCAGAAATCTTCGGCTTCGAGTCTAGACAGATCCATGTCACTCCGGGTTTTCTCGGGCTTGGGGTGGTCACTCTGTTGCCTTCTTGGGAAGTGTGGCCGAATGGAATTCATTAGGTTGGCTTGATGTTTTCAAGGGGGGGTTGCAACTGCTTCAATCCGGAACTCGAAACGAGCCACGTCCTAAAAACCGATTGTAGGTGAATGAAGGATAGAAAGGGACGCTCCCAAGAAGTGGGCGCCTTCGGCGCCTTTTCAATTCCTATGGCTCTGTGTAGGCCAGGTTCATGTCGATCGGTTTTGATTGCGACTCATCATGACCCTTTCGACGTCCGGTCCTTGAGAGCGCCTCGAGCTACAAATTCCCGTCGCCGGACTTGGTCAGATGGATGGTCTTTGAAGCGAAGCTAAACAGAAATATTAATCAGTTTTGTAGACCTCTTGAAGGAAATCCCATGCGGGCCCAAATACATGGGAACACAAGGGTAACCATATATATATATGCCGCAAAGGACGGTCATGTGCGTCCGAAAGGAAGCCGCTTTCAGAACCCATTCAAGGGGTCACCCAACTAGGCCCAGTGGCTCCATTTGTATAGTAACCGACAGTAGGTCACCAAAAAAACCACCCTCTGAATAAAGGAGGGCAAGTGGCGGCTTATCCACTGGGCCGGGGGTTAGTGGTTGGGATCCGCAAGTGTGCGTCTCGTTGGGATGTGCCAGGAACCTGGAACAAGATCTTCAGCGAGGTGTGGCAGCATAAGCTCATGGTCAAGGACTCGATTGGATTGAGGCGATTTGTTTGTTTTCTCCGACCACAACTTGGTCTCCCCCCCCAAAAAAAAAACAAGGACCAACTCCTTGGGGTGGTTTCGTTTGCCCGTTTAATTTTGAAGAACAGGTAGAAGCAGCCAAACAGAAGGAAGAGGGAAGGCATGTGGTTTGTTTTCCTCAGGCCTTCCGACTCTTTGGTTTTACAACGGACAAGGCTCTCAGAGCCTTCTTTTTCCCCGTCCAGAAGCACACGGGACAAGACATCACTGATTCATATGTGCCAGGGTCAAAAGACTCCTTGAGAGTATTACCCCCCGGAGAAACAAAGTACAAATACCTCCCAAAACAAGGATTTAATCTTCACAAGCCATGAAGTTTTTCTGAAGTGACAGGTTGCAACGCGCATGGCTTCTTTAACCTTCAACTATTGGTCAAACCAATGGATGCCAGTGGCCAGCAAAAAGGCAATGCTATCGTGCCGGTGTCATGGGTCTAAATAGCCAGGGGACCAGAGGATTTAGTCCACGCATACATTTACCAGGGTTCCATTTCGGATACGGCCATTTTTGACCCACAGCCACATATGCGGCATTTATTGAAGCAATGCCGGATGCGTGAGCCTTGGAAGATAACTCCATTGGTGCACGCTGCGAAGTTTTTCTTTGTGGCTTGGGCTCCCCTTGGGCGTTGGCTCCTCTCATGGCGAGCCAGGAGCTGGGGCCCTTTGGGGCGGAGCGCTTCGATGGGATCAAGGATGGCAAGACCTTCCTGCGCGCAGGCGGGCGAGGGGTGGGGAGGGCGGAGTGAAAAGGGGGTGGGGGGTGTCGGGGGGTTCGGGGGTTTCTGGCGCATACTTGCAGAATAGGTGTCCGTTTAGGGAAGCCCACTGGTTTCAGATCATGTACCTTTTTCGTTTCGACCTAGGCTATGTTGCAGCACCAAGCCCTGTGGCTATGTCTCAAAACTAGGAGAGTGACCTTTCAGATGTTCCTAGTTTCGGCATTCGCCTTCGCCGCCAATGAGTTCCCTCCCGATGTGAAACCCGTGTCACCCGTACGGGTGACCCACAAGTTGAACTTTTAGCAGTGGATTTGAGAACAGCCCAGAAACATGGAACTGAATTGAGGCCATGGCAAAACCATATTCCTCTTCAAGGCACCTGGTGGGTTTCATGTGGGAAGAAGGGTTAGAGGTTGCTAGCTCGGGGCTGCGAGGGTTTTTGGGGCGTGGGAAGGCTGGCCAGAACATCGCCGAAGATCTTGCTTGAAGGGAACAGGTGGCAAATTTGAAGGGGGCCATTTGTTTCCCGAAGTGTCAGTAGAATTTGGAGGCACATGGAGCTTATGTATCCCCATAGCGTACTGCAAAGGGGGCTTCGCTTTCAAGTCAACCACCAACACATGGGAGCCTTTTTTCCACGGATACTGCTGGTCTGTGGGTGGAGAGAATGGCCCATTCGACAAGGGAGCTTCAGTGCTTGGGGCCAGGCAAAAAGGATTGGAAAACATGGAAGGTGGATGCCAATATCAATATTGCACAGGGAACAACTTGGAGACCCTCGAGTTTACTTTGTCTCGCCGCGGTTTTTAGCTATGTGCTTTCACTTAGGATATCTTACAGAATTCACATGTCTCACCGAGCCAGCCGCCATGCACGCGATCGCCCATCCGGTCAGGCTACAACTTGGACGACCCCGACTTTTGGGGCAATGTCACCTGGCGGAAGAGAGACACAACCAGACAGGGCGTGCGCGCGCGCGACTCTCTTTTAGGTTGGTTCAAAGTGAGAAGTCCAGAAAAGAGGGTGAGATCTTTTGTTTTTTGTTGGTCGGGCTTGAGGGGGTAGCCCGCAGTTCACTTGGACATGAGAAACATGTCCAATCGACACTTTCGCTGGCCTGGCGATTCCCCTGAACCTCCCAATCTAAACGTCCTTTCATAGAAACACTTTTTTTGTTGACAAATTGCAATTCAATTGTTTTCTCTTCCAAGCCTGGATGCTCTGCTCTCAGGTGGATAACTATGTGACAACTGCCGTGAAGCAGTCAGGCTATACTTCAGCGCCAAAGAAGCTCGCAATGGCCTGAGCCGCGATTCGATCGGCCGATTGGCCGATCGAATCGCCCGGCGATGCGGCAGCGGTGCCATGATCAAAACGCGGCAGGTATTTGCAGAACTTGTGGCGAGGCCCCGTAGTTTCAGGCCCCACATCCAATTTGTGCTCTTTTGCATCAGATGCAGCACTTTGGGGACTTTAAGAATTGCAAGGCGCCAAGTCAAGCCTCCAAATTGGGGCTACCAAACAAACCAACAAAAATCACCAAACCACCAAACCTAACTTAATCACCAAAGGGGCAAGCCGAACTGAGAGCTTTTGATCACGCATGTCTGGTGCTGATCTCAGCGGCGCTCTCTTGCGAGGATCGCAGGGGTAACATCTCACATGTGACGTGCACAAGAAGCCGGGACATATCAGGGTCCAAGCTTGGGCCCTTTGAACGGACCAGAATCTGAAGGTCTTATGTTCTTGCTGCATTTGGGGTAAGATGTTGTTGTGCATTTGGGGTGCCAAGACCACACTTGTATCCTTCAGGACAGAGGTTTCCAAGCTTTGTGAGTCGAGAAACCGCCAGTCAAGCCGCGTTTCATTGGCTGAACTTTAAAGGTTTGGGCGTTACTGGTGCAAGGGGTTGGCCGCGACAGCGAGTAGAGCGGAGAGAAAAGTTGCCTCGCGCTGTGTGCCCCCCACGGTCCTTTTTAAATTGATGGGTCCAACAACGGCGGGTTGGTCACCTTGAAAGAGAAGAGGGAAAACCCACCAACTGCACAGAACTTTGCAAGAGATCTCATATCGGTCCTGCCCGCGCGCGAGTGTGTGTGTGTGTGCCTGCATGCCAGGCAGGGTGTTTCTTGAGTTAAGACCTGCGTCAAGAATCCGGCTTTTTGGAAGCATAGAAGCATAGACGGGACAAAATCTGGGCAACTCGAAGCTCGTTTTGGTTTCCTTCATTTTAAGACATGGCGAGAAAAGTGCCTGGGCGGTTTGCCTTTCTCGCTCATATTCTTTCCTGGAGGCCAAATTGCTTGGGGCAGTTTCAGCCAACTTGGCGGTCACAAGCTAGAAGTCATGGCCTCTCGTGTGAAACATATCTCCGGCTACTCGAAACCTCTGCTCTGGCTGTTTTCGTTCGCCCAGAGTTCGTTTGTGCTTGCCTAAATTGCGTCACCTTGTGGGCCAGTGTGGAATGAGTTTCCCTTTGTTTGGAGGGGCACAAAAGGTTCATCCGAAAAGTTCAGCTTTTGGGCCCACAAGGCAAAGCCATAAGGTGATCAAAACCAGGTTTGGGGTTCGCGTTCCCGCGCCCAGTCGGACGGCATTCGCCGGGTCGCCTCGCGTTTGCGGGCGAACCTCGCAAAGCACCGCCAGGCGCGCAGTTGGAGGGGAGAACCCTTCGACTCACTTAGGTCTGCATCTGTTCTCGGGCCACGTAAGAGACGCAGCGTGAAACCAAACATGAGGGGTCCCACTGTCCTACTCGAGACATTCCGCTCGGCTGGTTTTTGAGTTGCTATGGGGTCCACATTTTCCGACTTGGGTTGCTCTTAAGAAACCTCAACAACAAAGGAAGATGTTCCCCCCCATTACGTGGGCTCCATGCCCGATTGCGATGGTCAGAAGGCGGAGGCACCATGTTTCCCTGGACCTTCACTTTCTGGCTATTCGGTGGGATCTTTGGACTTTAACTGTTTGGGGAAACTGTGCATTTTCCATTGGACCCACAAAAAGATAAACTTTTTGCAGAGGGTTCAACAGCGACCAAGTTCAACCACGGAAACCACGAAGGGTCACCTTTTCGATGTTTCCTTCTTGTCTGAAGGCGGTTACGAAGAAAAGGGTCCCCTTGGTGGTTTCCCAAAAGGGACTATGGGATTGACCAACACTCCGTTTCGAAGACTTGCTTTTGAACGGCTCAGCTGGCATCTGTGAGATCCTTTTTGGAAGTGCCGCCGCTCTCCAAATCGTCTGCTATACCAAGCATCCTGAAAGCCTCACTGGAGGTCCGTCTTGAAGACTGTGAACCTCTGTCAGGTTTCATAGGGTTTGGAGGGTGCATATCTTACACAGCAGCAACACGCGGGGGAGACATCGCAGCGGCAGTCCTGCAGGGAAAGGCTGGTGGAGCCCGGATCCCGGTGGCCAGGAAGCCAGCGCATGGAACGAGTATGCTGCATGACACGCGGGATGCCAAGAAGGACAGCGACCGGTCCTACACCCTCGGCCCGGACGGCAAGCTCAAATGTATGCAAGTTTCAGTACAGATATGAGATGTGATTCAAATATCCACAATATATATATATATATACACACATTTGTGAGCACGTATACAGGTGATTCAGAAAATTGGGCACCCGTATAAATCGTATAAGTGGTTGGCCACCTTCTGTTCGAGTCCCTTCTGGTTTCCTCTTTGAGCTGCCCGTCAAAAGAGCTGACTGTCAGTGGGTTGGAAGACGACCCCGAATACAACAGGGAGCCTGGGATGATTGAACCCAGGGTGCCTAGCTTATGACACATTTTTCCTCTAAACCTGTTTGTTTCGTAGCTGACAATGCAATTATAAATTCACAGTTCCTTTTGGGAAGAGCATGAATGGATAGATGACGGACTGTGTCAACACAACATCACCCTTTTAAGTGTTTGCTCCAACTTGTGGTAACAGTTAAACAAATGGTATCCCACCCAAAGACTCCAATTTTCCGCTGACCTGCAAACAGCAGCGATAAGGGATCCCTTTTGCAACACAAGCGGGAGACTGCTGTGCGGTTTCCACAGACGAGGTATGGCGCACACTCCATGACCAGGACCCCCTACAGGTGAACCAGTTTTTTGGCAAGGTGGGAATAGCCGCCAAGTTTAGTGCAAGGGTGATTTCTCTTTAAACAAGCCTTCACCTGTCTCTAGGGTAGCTAGGGCTGATTTTGGGGCGTGGAACCATTGAAACGAGTGGACTGCCGCCAGACTTCCCTTTTCAATCTGCCTTTTCCATGATTTTCCCTTACCAGAAAGCCAAAACAACAAAGCAAGATTTGCCTTTTTGATGAAACCATCGTTTTCCCTTACCCAGTGCATCCCAGTTACCTTAGTACGGAACCAGTGACCAGCCATTTTCCTTTGGGTATTGAAAGCTGGTTTCCTTGGTTACCTACTATAGAGGGAAATGGAATCACTGGGATAGAACATTTCAAGTTTTCGACTTTTAGCCGCGTGCCAGGTCAGCTCGGAGAGGCGGGGTTTTGCTGCGGCTCGATTTTATTTTCCCCGGCAGCTCTGAGCGGCAGGGTTCTGCGAAGGCTCCGGGGTGACCTAGGGCGGCTCTGAGGTAAGGTTCCACAGGGTTCCTCGAGGGTCCTCGAGGTTTCCGCAGCTCAGTAGGGAATGAGGGAATGAACCTGCGGGTCCCCTTAAAGAAAATCACCAGATGGATGGTTTTCTCGGGGTCATTCCATATCTCATTCCCTCCTGTGCACCAGCAAGACAAAGGGAAGCTAACTCAAAAGACCTAGTTGATGTTTCAAGCCACCGCGGGGTTCCGCAAAGGTTCCGCAGCGGGCTCCGGGGTGGTTCGGGGCGGCTACGAGGTAAGGTTCAGCAGGGTTCCGCGAGGGTTCTGAGGTAAGGTTTCGCGGGGTTCCGCGAGGCTTGAAAAAGAGCGCCGCATGCTGTTGTGGATATCGCCTGGGCTTATGTGAGGCTCGGTCCCTGGTGGGATGTGTTTATGGAAAACTCAAAGGGCACGGAACAACCAGGTCTAACCTTTCAGCAGACACCCCCCACTTGTTCGTCTTTGGTGGTTTGGGCCGCTGAAAGCTATGGTCGATAGGCCCAAAGAAGCTCCGCAGGGGTTCGGGGCAGCTTTCAGGGAAGGTCCCGGAAGGTTTCAGGGTTCTGCTGTTGGAGATACCTGGGCGAATTTTCAATTAAACCCTTAAATTCCTGATAAGCAACACCCAAAAAAGTCGCACACCATTGAATCTCTATAATGAGAACCCAGGATTCATCCATGGGATAATTAATACGGGGGTGTCATCAGTTTCTGAGTTGTTTTTTTCTTCTTCTGTTTTTCCAATTGGGAGGGGTGGGGGGGGACAGACATGTCCCTAAGAATCTGACAGGTTGAATCTGGTCAAATTGGGGGTCCAACGTGAAGTTTGATTCATGTCTGAGGCTTCCACCCCAAACCCAAACCCAAACCAAACCCGAGCCATCCATTCGCCAGCAACGAGCCCAGCGAGGGCGAAGCGCAGTGCCGCGCCAAGCGAAGGGTCGTCGGTGTGGGACCCTTGAGCCTTTTTCTAGGGATGGTTGCCAAACCCTAAAAGGATTCCCTTGATCCCTTTTCTGGGGAGAATGATTTTTGCAACTGAAAGCCCAAAAAAGGAGGAATGGGAATAGTGGGGTACAATCAAGCTGAGTATGGGACCTTGATTGATTAGAGAGGCTTTCAGGGTGCGACGTGGCAATGGACGGCCCCTTTTTCCAACCGAGATGGGCAAAGAGGCTTTGCCGGAGATCCTGTCAAGTTCGAATGTTTTCTTTTGGTGGCTTGATGTTTTGGATGGGGACATACTTAGGGTCACATCGAATCCTGGTTGGTGGGCCACATCCGGTGAGTGACAACCGCTGAAGTTTTCTTCTGAACCTTGACAGGTTTTCGAGAGGGCCAGACTGCTGAGATGGTTCGCGTTGGTTCTTTCTGGGCTGGTTGCACAAACTATGGTTTATATAGCCATGAGTGATCAACCAACGCATTGTTGAATGTCCCTGGCATGTGGCTTAGCACAGCTTGCAATGCTTGGGTTTAGAGCGCATGGGCTTGAGCAGCCACTTGGATCGACTTCTGGGGTGTCTACATGCCAGCCTGCCGCCACGTCCAGGAAATCTGCAAGCATGCAGCAGCCAGCTTTTTCATGAAACACTGTGTATTCTGGTTTCGGAAGGAATCAAGTAAGTGTTTCGGTTGATATGAATGGAGAAGCCCATCATTGAGGTTCTGGCGGCTTGCCCCTTGCTTCGCCTGTTCGCTTGCTCACTCCCTCACTCCCACTCGAGGATCGTTTTTGCAAATCAGGAGAACAGCTCAGATTTGGGACTCGTTTGCCATTTGCAGAGTGTCTTGACGCCGGGTTTGCAACCCATCGTAGAAAGGAATCTCCACCGATGAAAGGACCGCGTGTTAAGAACTGGTGGATTTTTTGAAGCAGTGGTCAATACTACAGGCTCACTGAAGCTGGCTCCGTCCTGCTTCCATGGACTTGACGACGCTGCGTTCTGAAGGGTAACCACCCAATTGATCTACTGTGGATTTGCTATTTGCGGCGCGGGGTTTGTCAGAAGACTGACGACCTGTTGGAGCAATTGGTACACAGCGACAAGGCGCTTGGAAAGGGCCTCTTTCTGGTGAATCGTAGTGTTTTGCTCCCGGTTTTGGTGGAACATCAAGCGAGATTCCCTCGTAACATTCGCAGGTTCGACACCCCAGCCTCACGAGTGTGAGAATCTCTAGACATGTGGGTGAACACCTCCAAACGAGGGTGCGAAAGCGAGCGTGATCACCTCTACACATGTGGGGGCACACCTCTTCCTGGGTCTAAAGGGTTTACCGTATACCCATTTACGACTCAGCCTTCAGGTGTTGCCGGCCTGCGGGGAAGCGGATCCTTGTCCGGGACCCTACTGGACGCGGTTGACGCTTGTGTTCTGATTAACGTCTGGTATTGACCCTCCGCTTGGGGTTGGCTAGTTTTGGAAAGTCAGTCAGTCAGTCAACCAGCCACTTAGTCAGTCAGTCAGTTAGCCAGTCAGGCAGTGAGCACTCGCTCACTCGCTCACTCGCTCACAGTTGGTCAGTCAGTCAGGCAAGCAGGCAGTCAGCCAGTCAGTCGGTTAGGCAGTGAGATTGTCTGTGTCGTCCCTTCCTTATTGTTTTGCTTTTTCTTTCTTTGTTTTTCTTTCTTTCTTTCTTTGTTTCTTTGTTTCTTTGTTTCTTTCTTTCTTTCTTTCTTTCTTTCTTTCTTTCTTCCTTCCTTTCTTTCTTTCTTTCTTTCTTTCTTTCTTTCTTTCTTTCTTTCTTTCTTTCGCCCGTCCTTGATTCCTGTATGTGTTTCTTTCTTGTTCCTTCTGTTTTTCTTCGTTAGCCTGTTTGTTTGTTTGTTTGTTTGTTTGTTTGTTTGGTTTGTTCGTCTGTTTGGTTTGTTTGTTGGTTTGTTTGTTGGTTTGTTTGTTTGTTTGTTTGTTTGTTGGTTTGTTTGTTTGTTTGTTTGTTGTTGTTTGTTTGCTGCTCGTTTGCTCGTTTGCTCGTTTGCTTGTTTGTGTGTCTGTATGTTGATCTGTTTGTCAGTTTGTCTCTCTGTCTGTCTACCTGCCTGCCTGCATGCCTGCTTGTCTGTTTTTCAGTTTCTCTGTTTGCCTGTTCGTCCCTTTGCCGGTTTATCTGTTCGCCTGCTTGTTTGTTTCCCTGTTTCTCTGTCTGTTTGTCTGCCTGTCGGTTTGTCTGCTTGTTTGTCTGTCAGTTTGGTCGCAGGATCTTTTGACCGTCTTGCACCTCTCAGTCCGCCAAAAACCGCCGAGCCCGAAAGTGTGATGGCCCCTGGGCTCGTTGAACTGCAAATATGTTCCCTCTGTTTCTGTCCCAATCTATTTGGGGCCTCTTTCAGTTTTGTTTTATTCTAGGGTGGACTAAATCTGAAACAGAAACTCAACATATTGTTTTTTGTGACCCAGATGCGGGCCAAGTGATGTGTGCTTTATTTGTACCGCTAACCTCCCTTATGTGTTATGGGGGCATATAGGTCGACAAAACCTGATGCTTAAAAGGGGATTCCGCAACACTGGTCCCGGGTCTTTTTGGTTTCCGGAGAACCTGGCCGCGCCAACTCTTGGTGCATTTTGCTTGGATGTCAGGACTTTAACTTTTTGCCATCTAATGGGGTTTCCATTAAACCGCTAAAAGTTAAACTTTTGGCAGGGGAGCAGCAAGCAACCGAGTTTAGCCTCTGTTGAATCTTTTGAAGGGAAGCCAAAAACAACACCGTCCACATGAGGGCGATTTCGGGGGGGTTTAGCTCTTGAAGTCAAAACTTGACGCGCTGGACCAAGACTCAGAAGCCGAGCCTGTTCCCTCAGGAACGGACAAGGGGATTTACCTCTCTGCCTTCCAGTTTCCGGACTTGCATGAAAAAGCGTCCAATTCCGGTGGTTCCGGTTTGGTTTTCCAACAGGGCCATTGATACTCCATGGGCTTTTCAGTCGATTTCGATTCTGAGGACCATGACCACATCATACTGCTGGGGGACACAAACTCGCGCCTGCACTGGCCCGGGAAGCTCGGGGGCATGCCCCTGCAGCAGGCGGGTGGGGCCCAGGGTCCTTGACTTGAATTTTGAGGTGTCAAACTCGGAAACCGGTTCGCTGTTATAAGACTATTGTTCAGTTTGGATTGGTGTGATGCTTGGTGCAACATGTTCCATCATCCGCCTTTCCTGCCCAGGAAGTTGACCTACCACTTGGAGAGGATCATGGTAGCTTAACATGAGGCCAGCGAAATGAGCAACCCAACATCATGTCAACTTTGGAATCCGGAGGGACTCTCAGAGAAACCCCCTAAATAGATGAGGGGGACCACTCCTGATCAGTATGGTCCTCCGGAGATTCATTTTGTATCGACTGGTGGCATCTGCATCTTCAAAGGACACCTAGGGCCCTTCCTGGTAGCTTACTGGTTTGAGGATGAGCGGGGCCCATCCAAATTGTAACCACAAAAACACGCAGGGCGTTCCGTCCATTTTGCCCTTGCCATCTTGGGAACCGCGTACAATTGTGTTTGCGGCCTGGTTGGGTGAATCAACATCACCGCTTGGGGACGTCTTTTTAGTGAGTTCCACATTTTGATGGAGTGATGCTTCATGGGGTCAAATATTGTACCCCATCTGCGGTCACTTTAGGGGCACTCACAAATGGCGCGATTGTGGTGTGCGTAGTTGTCAAAAACTGGGTTTTTTTTTGCATATTTTTGGAGTTGTTGTTTTTTTGGGTGTGTGTGTGTGCAAATGAGGAAGTATCCTACTCTGGCATCACGCAAAGAGCAATTTTTCAGAAGCATGGGTGGACCATGCCATGACACCTGATTAAGGAATCATGAATGCGGCCTGGATTATCCCAAATGTGCACAGGCACCCAAAGAGTCGCTTTCTGTTTGGATTCCCAAGAGCCAAGCCCGAGCTGGGAACTTGTGGCAACCCAGTTCCTGGCTTCCCGTTCTTCGCTTCCACTTTTCCGCCTGACCAATTTTGGGCGGCACCGAAAAAAACGGGTTCCGGTTCCAAGAAACGGGTTTACCAAAGGACAATCATGTCGTTGATCGGATAGAGAAGCCCTTTAGCCCATTTAAGGTCACCCATTTTTTTCCTTTGCACTTCTCCGACTTTTGAGCTGTTGCGCTGTGCCTACGCAAAGTCCCGCAGCCAAGCCCGCGACCACCCCCCCAGCTGACCCGAAGCGCCCGTCCGCGGCTTCTCGGACAGGCACGGCAGAAGGTCCAGGAGAAGCGCTTCGGTGAGCTCTTGGCGCTGGACCAGCCGCCTGGACAGGGAAGACATGTGGGGTGTCCTTTATTGATGGTTTTTACCCTTTTTTAAGGAAAACCACAAGGACGACCACCAGCTTTTTTTTGTTGGGGGATGTTCGGTTTCCTTTGGTTTTCCCGACAAAAAAGGTTTCTCCCCGCAAAATTGCGACAGACCCATGGCACCCAGAGCCGAGAACTCCTTTAACAAACCTTTCTGGGGTCCCAAGTACCATTTTGCTGCCGGATCGATCCGTCAGATCTGCGATCTCAGGCTGAATTTGATGCGCAGGGACGGCATGGCCTTCCATCAGTTCGAGGATGGAGCCGGGTCACTTGGAGCAGGTTGTATTTGGCTGGGTCAAAACCCTGGTAATGATTCCACTACCCCAACAAAGCGGGGGGCTATCAAAAAGGATGTATCTGGATTTTGAGCCACACCCATTTTCAGAGACTCCTTCTCATTTTGATTTTGGATATGGTTTAAGTTTAAACCACCTTTTGGAGTGTGATCTTGAGGATGTCCATCTGATGGACCCAGTTCTGCATGCCTTTGCTCTTGCTCCGGTTCGTGATAGCGTTCCTGTTACCGTTCTTGTCATGTCAGTACTGATTCTTTGATTGTTGCAGAGTTCAATGTTGTCGTTTGTCGCCAGTTGCTTTTGTTTGCTTGCTTGTTTGCCCGGTTGGTTGTGTGTTTGTGTGCGTTGCGTGTTTGTGTGTTTGCTTGTTTGTTTGTTTGCTTGTTTGTTCGTTTGTTTGTTTGTTTGTTCGTTTGTTTGTTTGTTTGTTTGTTTGTTTGTTTGTTTGTTTGTTTGTTTGTTTGTTTGTTTGTTTGTGTGTTTGTTGTTTGTTGTTTGTTCGTGCGTACGTACATTTGTTCTTTCGTTTGTTTGTGTGTTTGTGTGTCCTGTCTGTCCTCTCTGTCCTGTATGTCCTGTCTGTTCTGGCTTGTCCTGTCTTGTCTTGTCATGATCTGCCGTGTCTTGTCTCGTCCTGTTTGTCCTGTCTCTCCAGTCTGTGTCTGTCCTGTCTGTCCTGTCTGTCTTGTCTGTCTGTCCTGTCTGTCTTGTATGTCTGTCCTGTCTTGTCTGGTCTTGTCACGTCCTGTCCGTCCGTCCGTCCGTCCGTCTGTCTGCCTGTCTGTCTTGTATGTCTGTCCTGTCTTGTCTGGTCTTGTCACGTGCCGTCCGTCCGTCTGTCTGTCCGTCTGTCTGTCTGCCTGTCTGTCTGTCTGTCTGTCTGTCTTGTTTATGTGTGTCGCTTGCTTGCTTGCTTGGCTTGCTTGGCTTGCTTGGCTTGCTTGGCTTGCTTGGCTTGCTTGGCTTGCTTGGCTTGCTTGGCTTGCTTGGCTTGCTTGGCTTGCTTGGCTTGCTTGGCTTGCTTGGCTTGCTTGGCTTGCTTGGCTTGCTTGGCTTGCTTGGCTTGCTTGGCTTGCTTGGCTTGCTTGGCTTGCTTGGCTTGCTTGGCTTGCTTGGCTTGCTTGGCTTGCTTGGCTTGCTTGGCTTGCTTGGCTTGCTTGGCTTGCTTGGCTTGCTTGGCTTGCTTGCTTGCTTGCTTGCTTGCTTGCTTGCTTGCTTGCTTGCTTGCTTGCTTGCTTGCTGGCTTGCTTGCTTGCTTGCTTGGCTTGCTTGCTTGCTTGCTTGCTTGCTTGCTTGCTTGCTTGCTTGCTTGCTTGCTTGCTTGCTTGCTTGCTTGCTTGCTTGGCTTGCTTGCTTGCTTGCTTGCTTGGCTTGCTTGGCTTGCTTGGCTTGCTTGGCTTGCTTGGCTTGCTTGGCTTGCTTGGCTTGCTTGGCTTGCTTGGCTTGCTTGGCTTGCTTGGCTTGCTTGGCTTGCTTGGCTTGCTTGGCTTGCTTGGCTTGCTTGGCTTGCTTGGCTTGCTTGGCTTGCTTGGCTTGCTTGGCTTGCTTGGCTTGCTTGGCTTGCTTGGCTTGCTTGGCTTGCTTGGCTTGCTTGGCTTGCTTGCTTGCTTGCTTGGCTTGCTGTGTTTGCTTGGCCTGCTTGGCCTGCTTGGCTTGCTTGGCTTGCTTGGCTTGCTTGGCTTGATTGGCTTGGTTGGCTTGCTTGGCTTGCTTGCTTGCTTGCTTGGCTTGCTTGGCTTGCTTGGCTTGCTTGGCTTGCTTGGCTTGCTTGCTTGCTTGCTTGCTTGCTTGCTTGCTTGCTTGCTTGCTTGCTTGGCTTGCTTGGCTTGCTTGGCTTGCTTGGCTTGCTTGCTTGCTTGCTTGCTTGCTTGCTTGCTTGCTTGCTTGCTTGCTTGCTTGCTTGCTTGCTTGCTTGCTTGCTTGCTTGCTTGGCTTGCTTGCTTGCTTGCTTGCTTGCTTGCTTGCTGCTTGCTTGCTTGCTTGCTTGCTTGCTTGCTTGCTTGCTTGCTTGCTTGCTTGCTTGCTTGCTTGCTTGCTTGCTTGCTTGCTTGCTTGCTTGCTTGCTTGCTTGCTTGCTTGCTTGCTTGCTTGCTTGCTTGCTTGCTTGCTTGCTTGCTTGCTTGCCTTGCCGGCTTGCTGGCTTGCTGGCTTGCTCGCTTGCTAGCTTGCTCGGTTGCTGGCTGTCTGGCTTGCTGGCTGGCTGGCTCTCTGGCTTGCTGGCTTGCTTGCTTGTTTGTCTTCTTGCTTGCTTGCTTGCCGGCTTGCTTGCCTGCTTGCTTGCCTGCCTGCTTGCCTGCTTGCTTGCTTGCTTGCTTGCTTGCCTGCTTGCTTGCTTGCTTGCTTGCTTGCTTGCTTGCTTGCTTGCTTGCTACCTCTGTATGCTTTCTCAATATTCCTTCCTTTTCTTTTGTCATCTGTTGTCCTTCCTTCCTTTTGTCCCTTCTTCCGTCATTCCTTGCTTGATCGCTGGTTGGTTTGTTTGTGTTTGTTTGTTTGCTTGGTTCGGTGGCTGTTTGGTTTGAGGTTTGTTTGTCTGTCTGTCTGTCTGTCTGTCTGTCTGTCTGTCTGGTTGTTTGTATGTTTGTCTTTACTATGCTTGTTGGGTTTGGCTTAGTTTGGGGTGGTTTGTCTTGTTTACCGATTATTGCTGGTCTATTATTAGAAGACGGATTACTTCACAAAGATCTCGGAAGCTGACGCTACCCCTAGGACAATGGGCCAAGTGAAGCCAAGTGTTAAGCGTTTGCGTGAGTTCCCCCGATCTTTCGGAGAAGGAACCCGGAGAAGGTTCAGACGAAAGATGAACCAGTCAGACAGGGCTTTCGATTTTTTGTCGATGGCAGTTCAATCACGTTTGGAGACGAGCAGCTGTAATCCTTTGAATGCCAGCGTTTGCGCGAATAGTTTGCTTGGAGAAAGTCACACACACACACACGCACACCTTTTTTTTCTTCTTCTCCCGAAGCATGTCATGTTTTGGGTGTGTTTTTTGAGGGTATACCCTTGTTCAGGTCCGAACCCAAATGGACATGTGCACCATCATGGGGGCCCCCCGATATTTTTGGCACTGGATTCTTTTGGGACTGGATTGCCGCTCTCAGAGATGGAGTTTTTGAAGCAGGTTCTCTGATTTCAGCGCCGAACCCCTCCCCCCCCCAGAAAAAAAAGGGGGGAAAACACACAAATGTGGGTGGTTCTACTTGGCTTAATAGGGGTCATAGTAATTGGCAATATGAATCGTAGTCTACCATTGGCTTGGGGACAGCCCACGGAAACATTTCCCAGACTTAGGGTTGACTTGTTGCCAGGAGAACCGGATCTGCTTCCTGCCGTCCTACAAGTGGCACGCCGAAAGGGATGCCTACGACATGCGGACACAGAAGCATGTGCCAGCCGGGCACCCCATGCGATTCCTGATGCCTTTCAGTTCAGATGGTCCTTGTCATGGCCAGATTCAGCTGTTTCAAACTTGTGGTTTGTGTATCCTTCCGGGTTGGCTCGAAATGTGTCAAGCACTAAAAATTCAAGCCTGGTTGACATTCAACACTCTGCAGACACTATGAGCTCGGGAGTATGCACTGGCTCACAAAAGACGGACCTTTACTTGGATTCCTTATTTCCAATTTGTGAAATCTACTCATTTGCGCAGGTGCATGGTCAGCAAGTGGCTATGATTCTCCTGGCTAACCACCTCTATAGAGGTTGGTGGGCATGAATCCGCACCTAAGTGATCGGACTCTTGCTGAGCCCTGGCTCAAACCAGCCGCGGATCGCGCGGTGGCCGGGAACAATGAAGCCGCTGCTGGCGTTGCTGGCCCTGGGAGGCGGGGGGGGGGCCTTTCAGCGCAAACAAAATCCAGCGAAAGTTGTTTCCTTTGAGAAGGGTAGCCTAGGAACGTGTTGCGACAAGCCGATCCCACCAATGCCAACCGATCCCACCAATGCCAACCAGCAGCTAGCCATAAAGTTATGTTTTTTTGTATGAAACACGGCTAGCATATATATATATATATATATATACATATATACGTGGTGAACTAAAAGAGTCTCCAGTATAGGCAACCAGCGATGTTCCTTGATTGTGGGTGGTTCCCTTGATTCCCCCCTTTTTGTCCACGGAACATGCCACCGCACTCACCGGCTCGCTTTGCGAGGCCTATGCGTAGCCGCCTTGGAGGCAGGGGAGCGAAGGGAGGGGTCCAACATGTTTCGAGGTTGCTCCGAACGGGCAGAAGATCCTCTTCCGCACAAGGGAAACGTGTGGCCCTTCATGAACCGATGTTCTACTCCAGGTCTTCGGAGCAAACCCCGTTGAAAGATACAATCTGGTGGTTCGAAATGTCAAGCCTTTTTCAGCAGACCAAAAGGACACCCAGCACATTTTGGATGGAACGTGGAACATTCTCAGGAGGATTGTCGAAGAACCTCATGCTAAAGCAAGCGTGCCGTTGATTTTGCAAAGGCAGGCATGCTGAAGGAGCACAAAGAGTTAGCAGTTGCGGTTACCGCACTTTAGGGTTCGGGACTTTAGGTTTTTGCCTTGGCTGGTTTTACCCACCAGCGATCCATCGCCTCATCGCCTCAGGACCCGCAGGAGCTCAGGCGCGACCTTCGGTTGGTTCAGCCGGCCCGCACAGGTTCGGTCAAAAAGGTAACTGTGGTCCAAGTGGGAGGGGCATGCATACGCACGCCCGCACATGTATACATACATACAGGCACCTGAGAGCCCCATGTGTTTCCTTTTTGCATGATTAGAATTGATCTTGCAAAGACATGGTGCCAATGGGCACTGAGCCAAGGAAACCAACAGATCTGAATTGGAAACCATTTGTCCGGGTCTGTCGATTTTTGAAGCGTCTTGTAACGATCACAGAGGGTTGCGACGCCGAAAGTGAAGGTTGGGGTCCTTCAGTTTTGCTTGGTGAATTGTCATAGATTTGCAGCGCTTGGGCTTTACTTTTATGGGCTTCAACAATAAGCGCTTCCTATTTGGGATCCCCTTGGCGGAACTTCGACAGGCACCGGTACTTCTGGGGGTCTCCTACTTTTGAAGGAAAAACGATTGAAATGCAGGCACATGGACATGTTTTAAAGCCCTTCCAAATGGGCTTCCGGTTTCCTGAACCCAAATGTGTAAAAACTGCCTTGGAGGCATGCATTACCAAAATTGCTGGCGCTTAATGTTTCCTGCCGCCTTTGCTGGGGAGTTCTGATTTGTTTGTTCTGCAAATCAGGCAGTAGAGGCTCCTGGTTGTGCCACGCTGAGAACATGTTCCAACCACTCTTTGAGCAACCCTGGGGTGTCCTGAAGGGGGGCCGGGAAACTGGCAGAATGCAGTGGAGTCCTGCATTTTGCTGGTTCTCTTGAATTGAGTGTCCGGCCGGGAAATGGAGAACTCGCCTGGGAATCAAAGGCTTCTCCTGGAACATGGCTCGTGGCCAAGGGTTCCCAGTTTCAGCTGGAAAGACCAACATGTTGTGCGATGAGTTTCGGTTAAGTAGTACCCCACCACCCCTTTCCAGTTTACTTAGACCCTTATATCCTAGTAGACACAGACCTGCAGCAAGTGGTTGGCCCAGATTGTGGTCCACGCATTCCTCCGACTTTGTCCCGACTTCGTCCCGACTTCGTTCAGGCCAAGGAGCTTACGCCCTGTCAGCAGGCGCAACGGGGAGGTGGCCAAGTCACTTGCAATCATGAGGAGTAATATCTATATATAATACATACATGCATACATACATACACACACAAAAACATGAGGAGTACATATCATGTACATCATGCACCATATATCTATCATGTACATACCTACATACATACATGCACACATAATGTTGATCCCATAGTAATCAACCCCTGTTTGTTAATAGGGGGGTTCCCCTCCAAAAGTGATGATTCCCCACTAAACCCAGGGACACCCCCCTATTAAACTGGGGTTGATAAATATGGCGTCAACATTACACACAGACACATACACATACACACAGACATACACACACACACACATAGATACATATATGCATGTATGCATACATACAAGCATGCATGCACGCATGCTTCACACATACAAACCTATACACATGCATTCACGCATACAAACAAACATACATAAATATATGCATACAATTATGCATACATGCATGCGTACGAACTTACACAGACACATAGACACATAGATACATAGATACATAGATACATAGATACATAGATACATAGATACAGTACATACACACATACATACATACATACATACATACATACATACATACATACATACATACAATACATTCATACATACATCATACATACATCATACATACATCATACATTCATACATTCATACATTCACACATACATACATACATACATACATACATACATACATACATACATACATACATACATACATACATACATACATACATACATACATACATACATACATACATACATACATACATACATACATACATACATACATACATACATACATACATACATACATACATACATACATACATACATACATACATACATACATACATACATACATACATACATACATACATACATACATACATACATACATACATACATACATACATACATACATACATACATACACACATGCATGCATGCATGCATGCATGCATGCATGCAACAAAAAACACATACAGACATACACATACGCATTCATGCATGCATGCGGGCATTCCTACATGCATACATACAGGCATACAGGCATGCATGGGTACCAACATGCAAACATACATGCATGCATGCATGCATGCATGCATGCATGCAACCATCGGACTTACTTCAGTTTGGTTGGGCTACCTACAAGATGATGGGTAAAGTCATAGTTGGGGATTTTGACAATGGTTTTCCTTTTGATTCCCTTTAAACCCAACCTCAAGAAGAGTACCAACTCCAAAACAGCGCCCAGACGTCCTATATTTCATGCTTTAAAATGGGCCAGAATGCAACAGCGCTATGTGGGTTCGGGCAAAAGTAGAGTTCAGCAGCGCCCAAAACCCTGGTTGACCAGTCGAGAAGGTAGTTCTACTGCTTGGTCTTAGTAAGGCCGATACAAAGCTTGATAGCCATCTTGGTACTTAGTAGGACGGCTCAAGAACCTACCAGTGGTAAGGTGGTGTCGGCTCAAGCAATGTCGCTGATCTCTTGTTTGCCGACAACATGGCAATTGTGAAGCTGATGGCAAAAAAGCTCAGTGAACTTGCCATCAGTGCAAATTGGATGGCACCTCTGACAACATCTGCAATCGATCCTGCCCGTTTTCCCACGTTTTCGCTGCAAATGAAACATTGGCCTGATTCAAATATGCGTGCCGCGAAGTTTGTAGAACGTCTTTGCTGCGCTCTGGCTTGGGGTGTGTTCACCATGGGGTCCCACACCACTGCTGGGATGGATTCATTTTGTGCCTGTGCAACTTGAAGCGCAAAAGGGTTTGTCGCAACTCTGCCCATGCTCATTGCTCCGAATACCGGTGGTGCAGCAGATTCCAGCACACACACAGGCCAACATGTAGTGTGAAATTTGACTTTCCTGTCTTCACAGACGGTGTGCAGGGCTTAGTTGCCTTGGCACTCCGTCCGTTCATCGTGTCAAACTGTTCGCTTCGGCCGGCGTTTGTACACTGCTGCGCAGACAGCGCCAAGAGCCAAAGTCAAAGGGGGGTGGATCAAAACAGGGGATCCCTTTTTGGATGGTTTTTGAAAAGAATCCCAAATAAAACCACCTACCTGGAAGTGTCCCCAATTGAGAAACACCGAAAGGGCGCCGCTTGACCCCCGCTCTTGTTGCCAGGGACGACGACCTCATCAGCGCCCTCGCTGCAGATGCCTCCGTCTCGGTCGCGGCCCCTGCGCCGGCGCCGGCACCAGCGCCAGGCGGAGCCGACAGGGGGAAAAGGTTGAGAAGCGGATTTTGGGGAGTCCATTTGGGCGCGGCTGTGTTTCTTTGAAGGTGTTATTTTATTCAATGACAGTTGGTTTGCTCAAAGCGGAAACCAAACACCAAAAGGAAACCCGTCAGTTTGGGGGTCCCTTTACACGCCCACTGCGGCTGATTTGTTTTGAGGCGAAGCACCCTTTTTTGGGTTGATTTTCGAAAGGGAACTAAGAGGTGGTTACCTTTCTTGGGGTCCCTAATTTGTGACAACCCAGGTGGGTGTGTTTTTTGAGTGTACTTGTTGGGTGGATGTAAAGGGAAACCGAGAGGAAACTATTGCCATCGCTGGGAGTCCCCCAACTGTTTCGGGAAGCGCCCGTTTTCATTTTCAGTGTGTGTGTTTTGCGCAGTCATTACCTGCAAGTATCAGTTGGCTACTCCATTTTCCTATCCATTTGGTTACCCTATCAATGAGCAACTGGCAAAATTATTGGTAGTCAGTATACTGTTTGGGGAGGGCATGGGAAAGATACCCAGCAGAGTTTCCTTCGATCTTGGCAAATTCTAGCGACCTCATCGAGTCGCAGATAAGGCGAGCTCACCCATGATGAAGGTACTTTAGTATGGCAAATGCTGATCATGGTGCTAATCATGTAGGTTCGGTTCAAGGTGCCCATTTTTCATCAACTTGCCAAGCCAAAAAAGCGGACACCCAAATGGGCGTGAATCTAGTTGAACCCTTTGGTGGACATCACTCCCATCAAAAATTCATATCTACCAACCATTTCTGAAATTGCTCCCCATTGAAATTCATAGCCACATCGTCCAGAGTCAAGTTGAGAACCTTCTAGGGTGCACTCTGCAGATTCACGTGGAACCGAGAAAGCTCAAGAGTGGAAGCGCGGTCCTCTTGTATATTTTTGGGGTTTGCACAACATCCTGAACGGGATCGACTAGTTTCCACTTTGCCTTTAACAAGAATGTGTGTGTGTGTGTGGGTGCGTGCGTGCGTGCGTGCGTGCGTGCGTGCGTGCGTGCGTGGGTGGGTGGGTGGGTGGGTGGGTGGGTGTGTGTGTGTGTGGGTGCGTGGGTGTGTGCGTGTGTGCGTGTGTGCGTGTGTGCGTGTGCGTGTGCGTTACGCGTTCATGACCAGTACCTGTAAGTATCATGACATGGAGGCGCAGTAGCTGCTGATGCTGCCAACTCAAGCTCCGAAGAGAGCATGAGTTCCAGTAGCAGTTCTGATAGCAGCAGCAGCAGCAACGACACCTGCGAGGTAAATAGAGCGCGCTTGCCTTGTCGATGGGAGGAGTGGTTGTGGGTGAGTGCTGGGGCGAGCCTGCGGGGAAGCGCAGTGTTGAATGGCTTCTGTGTGACGGGCCTGACTAGATAGATTGACACACCGCCTTGCACCCAAAGAGGTCTCCCTTCCTCCCTTCCCATTCCTTTCCTGTCCTTCCCTGTCCTTCCCTTTCCTTTCCTTCCCTTTCCTTCCTCTCCTTTCCTCTCCTTTCCTTGCCGGTGATACTTGCACGTCAGAAAACACAAAACGCTGGAAAACGATAGGGGACTCTCAAACTAACTAGCGAGACTCCTGCGTGTAAGTAATTTCGACCGTGCCTCATGTGGCCACTCAAGCAAATGTCTTTTTTGTTTGTTTGTTTTTTTGTTTGAGGGTACCTTTGTGTTGTTGTTCTGCTTTAACGGAAGACCAAAGGGAAAACCACCAATGTTAGAGGGTCCCCTAGCAAACGAATTGAATGCACCGGTATGTTGCGGACAGCGGACAGTTGCTTCTTCTTGACCGCTTTGTGGACGGCTGTCTCCCGGCAGGTCCTGCAGGCGTGCCCAAGGAGGCCGAATTCGTTCATGGCGCTCCGGTTGCTGCGACCTTCGCCCCCCCAAAGTTGACCTTTTGGATGTGGTTCCCCTTTTTTTGTGGGGCACGTATTTTTTTGGCAAGGTTTTGAAGGGACACCAAAAGGACACCGCTACCATTTTGGGGCGCCCAACCTTAGAAAAGGCACCCTTTGGGGTTTACAGACGGTTGTTCCTTAAACCTGCCAAAGGCGATCAAGCTTTTGCTCAAGAGCAATGGGTTTCGGGCGGGTTTACTGTGGGCTTAGGGTGGGTGGCTATTTGGTCGGTCTGGAAAACTTGTTCGCGAAAATACGTAGTTGCTGGCCACGGACATGTTGGGCAGCGGGCAATAGTCGCTAGGTAAAATGTGTCCTCCCCTCTTGCAGATGAACATGGAACCCCCAAAAAGAGGCGCTAGAATGAGATGAGTTTAAACACGATGGCTTTTTTGCGGGTTCCACGTATCTGCAGGGGAACCCAGTTTGGTGGGATCACGTTTGAATTAGCAGGAATGCCGAGGTATGGTGATCGTTTCGTTTGGTTCTGTTCATCATTCGTAGTCGGTGAGCAAAAGACAAGTTTTTGGCTCACCTACCAAGGGTTAGATGTTGCAACCTTGAGGCTTGCGGCGTATTAGCAAGGGTGTGCAGCCGATGTATCCGCTCTGGGTCCGGGTGGGAAACCTCATATTGTGCCCCTCTCCTGAAGGTTTGAGTGCGGGAGCAGGAGAACCTATTCTCCCGCCAAAACTCCGAATTCAAGCAGATGATCCATCCCCCCTTCCCCCGTCCCTTTGTCGCGCAAGCAAGGTGCAGGCCTCAGGCACACCTCGGATGTGCGCTTGACACGTCGGATAGCCTTCAACCCGTGAACTTTCGACTCAGGGTTGCAGCCTCAAGCGGATCAAACCAGAAGGGTAGAACATTGGTAGGTCCTTTGAACATTGGCGGGTCCCTTTGTCTCATTTCCAATCATCAACTTTCCTACGTTGTCTGAGCCCCCTGCTTTGGCCAGGTTGTGATGGGCTACCACCGGCTCTTCGCGCACGACTACTTTGAGCGCCAGCTGCCCAGGTTTACCTCTTCGCGGCCCGAAAGTCCTGAGGATCCACCTCTCACAACCCCTGCCTCCTGGGCGCAAATTTTGATGGGTCCCGGGCCCTTTGCTGGACATACTTTAGGTGGGGATTCATATCCATCAACCACTTGTGAGGTGGTTTCCGGGCAAGGTCTAGCGCCTCATTCGGTTCGCCTAGAAAGGTTCAAAAGACAAACACTTTTGACCGCAATGCATGCACCTGTGACCGTTTTATGTTGATAGACCTGTGTGCAGGCTGGGTATCGACCC